AGACCGACGGGGCCCACATCGGATGTCACATCGGGCCAACGCGGCGCGGAGGGCGCACCTCCCTAAGCGCCTAAGCAAAACGACATCGGGCGAGGCGAGGAGGAGGCGGGGGAGGAGTGCGACAGGAGCAAAAGGATGCCGAGGTCACCTGGTCACCTGACTTCGCGCGTCGCGAACCGCGATGCGCGACGCGCGGTGCTCTTCGCCCCCTCGCGCCGACATCCTGGAGATGGGCAGCTCTCTAGCCCAGGCCGCGACGCGCAAAGCGCGACTATCTACGCGCCGAAGAGAATGGGACCGGGTAACCTAGGACCTAGGATACGCAGAGAAATGGCGCGATGGCGAAAAGGATGAGGGATGAGAGGGCGAGCTTGTAACAGCAAGTGGACGTCGTCTGTTGCCCGTCCATCGTCGGCCCCGTTCGTCGACGCACTTGCATTGCTGCATTGACAGGGATGGGGGATGGGCCGCGCAGGCAATGGATGCAAGTGCGCGGCAGGAGTCTGGAGGAGGGCGGGGCACGGGCACGGGGCACCGGGCACGGCGCATCAGAGCGGGCCAACCCCGCCAGAATCGTCGTCGCATCATCGTCGTCGTCGTCGTATTCGCGTTCTCCCTTTTACCCACCCACCCCTCACCCCAAAATAATGCATGCCTCGAGGAAGGTCCGCCGCCCTGCATGGCGCAGCGCCCTGGGCACGTGAGGTGACTGGCCCCTGGGCCCCTTGGGCCCAACGCCCAGAATCTTGGGCCTCCTTGGGCCCAACGCCCATGCCACCACAGCGGCGCGGCGCCTCGTCCTCCGGACGGCGCCCGAGGAAGGCCCGCCGCCCTGCATGGCGCAGGCCAGCTCCTGGCGAAGGGCCCAACCATCTGCAGTTGTGAGTATCGCCAGTGTGGGTCTCACCTTCGGCGGATCTCCTTATGGTGCAATGAAGCGTGTGAAGGGTGTTCCGAAATGGGGCGGGAACGCATGCGGGCGCAACCATTGGGCCTTCGGTGGTGCTCTAAATGGGGCCACGAAAATGGTGAGGGGTGTGCCGACATGAAGCGGGGCCGGCATGCGAACGTCGCCACGCGTGAGGGGCGTGCCGAAATGGTCGAGGGACGTATGCGAACGTCGCCACTGGGGCCTTCGGTGGAGCTCCGTATGGGGCCACGGAGCGTGTGAGGGGTGTACCACAAATGGGCGCGGGGCCGCCATGCGAACGCTGCCACTGGGGTCTTCAGTGAAGCCCCCTACGGGGCCACGCAACGTGTGAGTGGTGTGCCAAGAGGGGCCCACGGTGGAGCTCCCTGTAGGGCCGCGAAACGTGTGATCGGTGTGCCAAAATGGGCGCGGGGCCGCCATGCGAACGCTGCCACTGGGGCCTTCGGTGGAGCTCCCGATGGGGCCATGAAGCGCATGAGGGGTGTTCCAAATAGGGGGGCCGCATCGGCCAAGGAGACGGTCGCCAGCGCCACGTCGGCAACGTAGAAAGTAGAAAGGATCCGACTCCCTCAGCCTTTCCTCATCTCTCCTCTCATCATCTCCACTGGCCACGGACGGGGGGAGGAAGGAGGTGGAGGTCCCACAGGCCCACAGGAACTCCCCAGGGCGCGAAACGTGTGAGGGGCGTGCTGATATCAGAGGGGGGCGGGGGGGGCATGTATGCCTTATGCCTAATGCTGCATGCGAACGCACCCATTTGGCTAAACAGCTTTAAGCCGCTTCCTGCCCACCCCATGGGCCAACGGGGCCCATTTATCAACAATCACAAAATACATCACACACATCAACAAAAAAATCAAACACAAGCAATCACAACATCAACAATCAATCAAAGCACAACAAACACACCAACAACACAAATGCATATCAAACCACAACACACAAAACAAAACAATCAAAAAAAAACAAAACAGCCTCGGGACCATGCTTTGTGTGGCTTGTATGGTAGAAACCATATGGCCCATACAAGACAATTATCGGTAAAACAAGACAATTAAAGGGAAATCACAACACAATTAAAGGGAATACAAGGCAATTAGCGGGAAGGATTAACGGAAGGCTGAATCACCAAAAGGGGGGTGGGACACCACTTGCAACAGTTCGGGCGGGCTCAAACGATGTCTCAGGCGAGGCGCTGGTTTCAGCACTCCTGTGGGGGAGCCACTCGTGTGTTAGCGCGGGCCCGTTCGCGCCCAGATTGTGGGGATGTCTCGGGCGGTTTGCCTGTGTGGGTGCGCAGACTCGCCTGCGTTCGCATCAGATTGAAAAGATGTCTCTGGTGATTTGATGGCTTCAGCTGCCCAAGGGGCCCAGATTCTGGGGATGCCTCGACTGGCATTCATTTTTTTCTTGCGTTGTGGATGCCATGACAGAGCAGCTTGTGTCGTGGATGCCATGACAATGGACACTCTAACAATCCGATCATTGAATTAAAGATGTGCTCAAAATGTGTAAAACACGTTCTAACAATGTTTCAAACCTGTTTTTTAAAAGTTGAAACATGTTTGAAACATCTTCTAGACACCTGGAAACGATTTGGCAGCACGCTTCCTCCCCAATTGATCGACTTCCACAGAGCTTGTGGGGATGCCTCGAGCGAGGCGCGCTGGCTTCCACCACCCCCAGGGGGCCCAGATTGCGGAGGCACCTCGAGCGGTTTGCTCCTTTGGTGGCCGGGGCTCCCTTTGCTGTCGAGGCCTCGAGCGGGGCGCCGGCTTCGGGACCCCGCAAGGGGGGAGCCGTCGGCGGCGGCGCGCTCGCGGCCAGGTTCGTGGGGATGCCTCGAGCGGCCTGCCCGTTCGGGTGGCTTGGACCCCCCTGCTTCTCAGGGCACCTCCTCCTCCTCCTCCTCCTCCTCCTCCTCCTCCTCCTCCTCCTCCTCCCTCTTCCTCCTCCCCCCTCCTCCTCCCCCTCCTCCTCCTCCTCCTCCTCCTCCTCCTCCTCCCCCTCACTCCCTCCTCCTCCTCCTCCTCCTCCTCCTCCCTCCTCCTCCTCCTCCTCCTCCTCCCCCTCCTCCTCCTCCTCCGCCGCCTCCTCCTCCTCCTCCCTTCCTCCTCCTCCTCCCCTCCTCCTCCTCCTCCTCCTCCTCCTCCTCCTCCTCCCCCTCCTCCTCCTGCTCCTCCTCCTGCTCCTCCTCCTCCTCCCCCATCTCCTCCCCCTCCTCCTCCTTCTCCTCCTCCTCCTCCTCTTCCTGCTTGTCAGAGCAGATTGTGACGAGGTTTCGAGCGAGGCGCTGGCTTGCGCACCCCGAGGTGGAGCCGCCGCCAAGGGTCGCACTCGCAGGTTCGCGGCCGGGAGCTGTGGGGACGCCTCCAGAGCGAGGCGCCCGTGCTGCACTCCCGACTCCTGCCCACGCAGAGCCATGCGATCACCTCGAGGGGAGAGGAGAAGGGCAGCCGTCGGGGAGGAGGAGGGAAGGCCGAGGAAGGCGCGGGAGGAGGGAGAAGGGAGGAGGAAGAGAAGGGAGGGGCTAAGGCGAAGAGGAAGACGACTCACAAATATAAGAATAAGAAGGAGAATACTAATGATAACAATAACAAGAAGAATATTAACAATAACAATAAGAAGAAGGCTACCATGGAAAATACTAGTAGAATTAATAATGATAATAATGATAACGAGGATAACAATAATAATAATAATAAGAAGAAGAAGAAGAAGAAGATGGGAGAAGGCCGCCATGGAGGAGGACACTCGCAAATCAGGAGACAGGAGGAGTGAGGACGGTGGAACAGGGGGGACGAGGAGGAGGAGGGCAGATCACGCAGGATGGCATGGAAGGATGGACGACCGCCGGGGAGGAGGAGGGAGGACGGAGGAGGAAGGAGAACACAGGAGGAGGGAAATGGGAGGAGGGAGGAAGGGAAGGGAGGGGCTACGATTAAGTCTGGCCTGTCCCTCTACGAGAGGCAAATTCAAAAATGATCGAAACATAATCCGGGGACGATGTTTTGGCAATTTTTGAATATGGTTTGGGAATTATTGACTATTGTTATTTTTCGTCCAAGATCCCCCTGTAAGGGAACAGGCCCAACTTAAGGCTACGACGAGGAGGAAGAGCAAGGGGAGGGAAGGGGCCTGCTCACCGTCTGCCTGTCTGTGCACTGTCGTCGTCGTCGTCGTCGTCGTCGTCGTCGTTGTCTTAGGTCGGGCATGTCCCCCTACAGGCGGATTTTGGACGACAAATCAAAAATATACCCAAAATATTCCAAACATGTTCAAAGAAAAACAAAAAATCGTCCCCAGGCTATTTTTTCCCTACCTAGGCTCTGCCTAGAAGGGTTCTTACTCTGTTTGCTTAAAGGGCCGGGCAGTGGGGCACGCCCCGGGCGGTTCCCCCGGCATCCGCCCCGCGGGTCCCCCAGTGACGTTCCCTTAGCTTCGCGTTGCTTATCTCATCTTAGCTTAGCTTATTTCATCTTAGCTTAGCTTAGCTTCATCTTAGCTCAGGTTTATCTTAGCTTAGCTTACCTTCATCTTAGCTTCGCCGAGCTTTAACATAGCAGAGCACAGCATAGCATAGCATAGCAGAGCGTAGCACAGCACAGCGCAGCACATCATAGCAAAGCCCATCATAGCACAGCATAGCGCAGCATAGCATAGCATAGCATAGCATAGCATAGCATAGTGCAGCTTAGCATAGCATAACATAGCATAGCATAGCACAGTGCAGCATGCTATATCATAGCATAGCATAGCATATCATAGCATAGCACAGCATAGCATAACATAGCATAGCATAGCGCAGCATATCATGGCATATCATATCATATCATAGCATAGCATAGCATAGCAACTACTGCTGCTTTCCTAGGGGCTCCAACTTCTAGGTAGGGTCGCACTGGGGTAATTTTTAATATTTTTGAATGTCCCCCCTGTAGAAGGACAGGCCCGACTTAATCGTTGTCCCTCATCGTAGCCGCCGCCGTCGTCGTACCCATCATCCACTCGGACTCACACTCGAAAAACGGCAAAAACGTGGAGGTGGGTGAGGAAGGAAGACGACCGCCTGAATCATGTACGGCATGGCGAAGTCCATCAGGCCGTTGCGCCACGCCAGCTCCTGGAACGGGCGGCTGGAGGCTGGGCCGGGAGAGATAGAGGAACTGGGCGCTAGGCGTGCACAGCAGAGCGCTGGGACAAGATGGACAGGCGCGATCCTCCTCCTCCTCCTCCTCCTCCTCCTCCTCCTCCTCCCTATCCTGTTGCACCTCCTTTTCCGCATCCCCATCCTCTTTCCTCCCTCCCTCCCATCCTCATCCCTCTCGGAGGCCTCCAGAGGCCTCCGGGAACCTGGAGTTCTCTCTGGAGACCAGCGGGCACTGGAGATTTTCAGACACCTCCTGCGACATCCCCGAAACCTGCACGGAGCTTGGGCGAAGGCGACAGCTGGCCCGCTCGCGCACGGCCCCGCCGCCGACGACCGGGCGGGTGAAAGGTGTGGGCCGCAGCCAACTCGGAGCGCCACGTTCGAGCGACATTTGCGCGGCGCCAGGCCGGGGCGGGAGCTGGGCTGCACTTCGCCCGCTCGCGCGGGACCCCGTTGTCGACCAAATTTTGTTTTCCCTGCAAGAACCCTTCACGATGAAAGCTGCCAGCTTCCCAGCGGATGGAAGGGGGCTCCACCATGCCGACGCCGGCAGGCGAGGAGGAGCCCGAAGTGAAACCGAACGCAGACCGAGTGGGCAGCGCTCCTCAGGACGCCCATCGATCTTCGGTGTGGGAGCGTCACGCTGCCCATCGCACAACCATCGAGACCCAAGAAACCCAGGGCACCCTGGAGGCGAGCAGGGCGATTCTTGGCATGGGCCCCACTGTATGTATAGCTCTTGATGGGTCGGATGGAACGCCCAGGAGGAGAGGCGATCTGCATGCCAGCCAGGTGGCAGAGCGGAAGTATATACCAACACGGGGTAAGGAAGTAGAGAGGAGGAGGAGGAGGAGGAGGAGGAGGAGGAGGAGGAGGAGGCGACGGAGCAGGAAGCAGGGAGAAGGAGGATGGAGATGAGATTGGGAGATGGGGCGGTAGTGGGAGGAGAAGGTGGAGGAGAGGGATGGGGGCATTGAGAAAAAAAGCTTTGACTCGATCAAAACCTCTGGAGGCCTCAAGGCACCTCCAGTGAGGAGGGGCAGGAAGGGAAGGGGAAGGGGGAATCGAGTTCTCTGTGCGCGCTTGACTCCTTCGGGGCCTCTGGAGACCTCCAGGGGCTCCCTGGCCTGCTCCTCATATTTCCCCTCCTCCTCCTCTTCTTCCTCCTCCTACCCCTCCTCCTCCTCCT